AGCAAAACCGTGTTTTTTATAACCCTGAATTGTAGGTCCCGTCGTGTCTAAAAAATAACTCCATTCAAAACGATCGTCTATTAATACATATTCAGAACTGACGAAATGGAAGGGCCAAGAAGCCCCCCTTTAGTCCGCATCCCGCTCTCTCCATCGCTAGTTCCACCACTTCGCTAAGTCTATTGGGTTGACTTTTTTACCTCTAGATATGCCGTCCGCCAGGTTCTTCTATGAAGCTACATAACCCCACTTTGCCCTTATGCCGTGTGAGCGAAGAACTTTGTCTGTGGCGTTGGCTTCCTTCACTAACGCCTGTGAATGCTTGTTTCCTTTTTGCATGATGTGCATTATCGTAGTCTTGCCGATGCGAACATCCACGGGGCCATGTAAATGTGTTTTAAACCCGCGTAAAGCGAGATGGACTGCACGTGCCTCTACTTGGGATATCGTCACTTACAGAAACCGTGTTGCCCCTGTGGTTGAAGTGTACCCCGATGAAATCATATTCCTTTGTTTTTAACTGTTGTTCCTCAATAGTGGCACCGCCGCGTTGCATGTTCTTCAAAATTTGCTGTCCCCAGGCTTCCACCTTTTTGTGTGGACCGCTTATTCTGATGTTATCAATCCAAACATGTACTTTTACCTCTTTGGGTGCCGCGTACTGTGGCTTTACCAGTTCCGGATCACCAACCAGAACTCTTGTAATGGTATTAAAAATCTCTGGACTACATTTATAACCAATGCGAAGGCGAGTGAACTCCACTAATTCTCCTTATTCCGTTCGGCAACGGAAACTTGCTCCGTATGTTAACTAGGAGAGCTACCTGGTAAAATGACGCCTTTAAATCAAATAAAGTTACAGTTTTGTCGTAAACTACATCCAGGTATCGGGAAATGTGTCCCAGAGGAACATCAGCCTCATAATAATCCTTGTCATTCTTCTCTCTTGGCAAAGCAATGAAACGCCTTCTCTGCCCGGAGGGTTTTTCCCCCACTACCGCAAACGGTACTACCCATCCTGTGGTTGGGCGTGATGAAGCTGTACAAATAATTCCTGCTTCCTTCATACGCTGCGCCTCGGCGTTGTTAATTCTTTCATTGGATTCACGCCGTCTGGCGTGAAACTCGGGTTTCTGCATAATATTCCACACCTCGTCCCAACGCCCCCAGGCGCTATTGTTCAGGCGTTCTCTAATCCAATGGGTGGACAGCGTTCCTATGTTTATTTGTTGTAACGGTAATCGTGCTTCTTCGTCTTTCGTTGCCACCCTGGTGCGGTGTGATCGTTGCAGAATATTATGCCCTTTGAAGGGGGCGCAGAAATGTTGCCTTGTAAATTCTGGCAATTCCCATTTTTCCAATTCTCTTTCATCAATGATGTCAGGAGTGCTGATTTGTTTATTGTTGCGGCCCAATGGCCCGGATAACGCACTGTGCTGCGTGGGAGTTCCATGGGATCGGCATGTTTCCCTAACTGCGTTAATAATCTTGGGTCGAGATGGTGTTCGACCACTGCTGCCGCGGCGTGGGCCAAAGCTCCTCTCTTTATGGAGTGAGCTGTCATACCGTAAGGCCGAAGAATGTTTTCCATATCTTGTGCGGTTAATGGCGTTAGCTTTTTCGTCGCTCACCATTCCTTTTATGGTTTCTCTGACGCGCCGTGCGCCTTCTCCTCCGATTGCCGCGTACCTCACTGCCCTGTGACGGTCGCTCTTGAATGTTTATGCCGCTTCAATTACCCTGAGTTGTGTGCATATCTGCCGTCCCATTTGGACCAGCTGTGCTGATATCCCCTCGTTGCGAATGGAGTCCAGTCATTGTCCAAAATTATTCCATGCATCTTGATAAAATATACCGGGATTAGCTGGCCTGGGAAAAAGTTGCTGATAAGCCGCCACAACTTCGCCGGGCGATGCATCCCCCAGATAATCCATCATTCCTTCAAATGTGTGGTTCTTCTCTGCTGGTCCATTGCTTTGGTCCAAATTGGTTGCCGTAATTCCTGTATTCCCCGAAAACCCAACTTCGGGCGTACCCCAGTATGCGGTAAAGCCGGTTCCGGCTTCCATGTCCAGCTTGATAAATTTCTCCCTTTTTTTGTGGGGGAACCTTTTGTTCGGTTGTCCAACTTGCATCAGGAACGCTCTGTTGTTCTCCTTCGTTTAATTTTTCGAGCGCTTCCTCTAGTTGAGACTGCGTCGCTGTATGCTGATTGCGCATCCGCCGCAATTCATCCAGCGTTTGGTTAAGTTGCGCGCGGGATGCCGCCAATTGTGCCTGTGCGTTTGCCAGTTGCACTTGCGTTTTTTCCAATTGCTTCTGCGTCTGGGCCTGTTGCATTTTCGCGAGGAAGGCCTCCTGATAAATCTGTGCCATTTGGTTCTGTAATTCCTGGAGTTGTATATTTGCGTTTTGTTGTACCCTAAAGTCTTCGTGTTCTAACTTTGCTCGTGCGCAGCCATACTCATAATGTAGCTTTGTAGCTTCCTCCCCCAGTGCTGCCCATTCTGCACTGAATAAATTGTATGTCGTCTCGAAAACTTGTAAAAAAAAGTTTGGATTCCGAGGCATTGTAAAGTTAATAATGGAAGGGCACAAGGCCTCCCAAGTCCATAAAGTCTTCTTGGCCTATTTTTACTTTAAGTGTATCGCCTTCTAATGTCAGAATACTATCAATGTGAAAACTGTATTGCGGCATGTCCGCTGGTCTAAAAAAAAAAAATGTCGTTGGTCCAAATTAGCGCACAAAATCTTGGAAAGCCTTGGTGCAAATACGCCACTCTAATAATGTATGGGTCGGATTGGTTGTAGTGATAATTTTCCTTGCTTAAAACTTAATTTTTGTCTTTTCAGAAACTTACAAATTGACTCGCTCTTTGGAATAAAAAGAAATAAAAATTTCCCCGAAACGTCAAGAAAACTCCAGTACAAGACATGCCACCTAAAACGTAAGGCTCGATCATTCTTTTCGTAACCTGACATAAAAAACAAAATAATAATAACCTATTGATTTTGTTATTTGTTTGAGACTCCGGCGAAAGCCCCCGCGTCCGATCGCGCGGGGTTCCTCGAAATCCGGCCCGCCGCATGTTCTGGTGAGGCGTTGCCTCGCGGGGCGGAGGGGTGCGGTGCGGTTCCACCCCGCGACCAAAATAAACCGCGCCAAACGCAAATCCCAAGGGAGACGAAACTACCGCAAACCACGCCCGTAATTGGTGATAAGCTGTGCGGCTCCGTTGGTGCGGGGGAATTTCTTTGCGTTCGGCTTTCGGCCGGCGCGCTCCGAATGGGCCGGCATAAGTGTGGCGGAACGCCTCCTCAACTTGGGGAAAGGTTTGCCCACACGCTGGGGGTTGTTCGTTGAAGGTGCTGCTGGTGCTGGTGGTCTCTTTTGTTTTTGCCGTTTTTCCCTGGAGGTGGTTGGGGTGTTTCTTTGCCGGCATCCCTTCTCCATCTTGGAATTTTCTTAAATGCATGGTAATGGAGACTAGATGGAGGTAGAACGCCTAGTATACTCCGCATTGAAACCTGAAAAGGTCCTCACGATACGGTGGCGACGAATCTCTTTGGCGTTCCTTATTGCGCGGAAACGTTGCTTGTATTGTTGCTGGCAGAATTGGAGTTCCAGGGGGGTGTTTAAACTTTTTGTGGCAGGCGAGAGCTCCAATCTTGCCAAAGTCGCGTAGACAAAATTCGCATCGTAGTGAAGCAGGTTGGGGAATGAGTTGGATGCCGGGTGCGTCTTTTTTGGGGGTTCTCAGGATGCCGTGCTCTAATATGGGATTTAAGGTCTGTTTTAGGGCGCACTACCACATCACATTCGCCACAGGGGAATGCCGATTCCTCTGGTATCGGTTCGTTGGCTCGCGGGCGTTTTCTCTCTGGGACAGGGCATGTGGCGTTGTGCATGTATCTGAGGTGGCTTTCTAATCCATTTTGAAGCGGAAATGTTCGTTTACACATACTGCCGGCAAACGGGTGCGTTTTTGCTTTAGGGCGAACTGGGACGGGGTAACGTTGTGTCCGGAGGTGGGGGTTGTGAAGGTGGCGGGGGTTCTGGCGGGATGTCCGGCGGAGGTGGCTCATGGGGGAATTTGATCTTCCAGAGCGCGTCGGCTCCCTTGAACCCATGTTTGTTGACCGTATGTAGTTCTGCAGCGCTTCTGCATGAGTATTGTGCCCCGCATTCAGTGCAGGTGGCGGGGTCTGTTGCTTTGTTTAGTGCATAGCGCGGTCTTTTCTGGCTAGGTGGAATAACGGGTGTCG